AGCTCATTGCCTCGCTCATGGACCAGGTCGAGGATCACGTTCTTGGGCAGGTCTACACTTATGGCAGACAGTGGGACCAACAGTCACAACAATACATTAACGTTCCAGAGGACCTGGAGGAGCGACCTCCTCGCATTCTGGCAGACGCACGTCAGGCAGCTCAAGACCTCCTCAACTTGAGCATCTATGGAGCCCAGTTCGGCTACGGTGTGAGACACGCCGAGCCCCTGACCAACGTGGACTACGGGCGTCTCATGCAGTGGACACAGCAACTGCGAGACCAGTACACGATTGCCGACATCAGGCCAGGCAACAAAGTATCACTGGCTTCAAGAGGCAGTCATTCGGACAAGTGTTTTCTGGTGGCATATCAGATTGCGGCGCCTGACCATTTCAGGGATGATACAGCTCTCCCTGATTTAAGCCCGATGTGGAGCCCATCGACGATTCCGTGGACTCCAGCACCGTTTGACGACGACAGCGTGATCTACATTCCAAGTCCGCCGCCACGGATTCCACCAGCGGCACCTCCAGCTCCACCGCAGCCGCCTCAACATCCACCACCAGGACCAGGACTGGACGACACTGCGATATCATCACCATCATTGACCTATAGCCCTGACCAGAGTATGAAGCAGCAGGCACCAACACCGCCTCCTGCACCTCCTCCTGGACCTCCTCCGGCTCCAGCAGTTAAGATCATGAAATCGAGATCTCCTGGACTAGACAGATCGCGATCGGGAGTGGAGCAGAGTCCTATATCCTCACCTACCTTCAAAGATGTGTCTATATCACAACCATCAGTTCGACCACCAGACGATCCGCCAGAACCAGGAGCAGCAAAAGTCAAAGCGGCAGCTTCACCAGAGTTAGATAGATCGAGACCACGAGCTTATGGACTTCCACCAGAGTTTCCTCAACATCCAAGTCCGCCTCCAGCGAAGATACCGATCTCTGAGAGTCCAATGCCAGAGGTACAGATGGACTCAGCTCCAAATACTACATCATCGAGTTCAGCGTCGTCGACAGCAGACAGGTCGAGATCAAGGGTTATTGAACGTCAGACGGCATTTCCCTGGCCAGCACCACCTCAGACCATAGAGAAACCAGAATCTCCAGCGACTCCAGCGGCATCAAAGTTCAAGTCACCTGAGAACGTATCAAGTACTAGGTCGAGGACGCGTGCTGAGATCAAGCGAGTGGAAATCGACGAAGTTCCTGAAAAGAAACTCTTCCATCCAGAATCACCTGTGGCAGACCCAGGGCAGTCGAGTGGTGAGTCTCGTGATCAGCGACCAGTGTTACCATTGTCACACCCGCCTCCGACGCCGGTGGAACATCGCGACGATAAACGAGCACGCGCTGGGCCATCGCCACCATCATCGAGCTTGCCATTGGAATTGGCTGAACCATCCGAACCAGTATCGGCAACAGATGCAGCAGCAGAAACAACACTGGAGTATCCGCCTGAATCATTGGAACAGACGCTTGAATACCCAGGCGAAGCAGCTGATCAGACACTCGAGTATCCAGAAGGAGCAGCTGACGAGACCATCGAATACCCAGAAGAAGAAGACGACTCCCTCTTTTCGGTGGCACCTCCATCATGGTATCAGTACTGTGTGAAAGCGTCCAAGATCAGTGAGATGCAGGATACCTCTCCATTTGAAGATTTCGATCCTATGACACACGCAGCAGAAGACGCGGGCAGGGTTCAGAACTGGCTTGCCGCCACCAGAGCAGACAGCACGGCATGGACGGCACAAGCATCATTTTTAGTTATTCCAGGACCCTGGCAGAAAGAGACTTGCTTTTGGTACGATATTATTGCAGACGAGTGTTTCTCCGTTACCCAAGAGGATTTCTTGACGGAGGACGATGTCATCAGGTACTGGGAACATGTTGAAAGAGGAGATCGAAAGGATATTGCCTCCTTTGTATCTCATGATGTGTTTACTCCGGATTTGGCGAGTTGCAGTACCAACACCATCGACGCAGTATGGGTACGCAAGTGGAAAACGAGACACCCACCAGAAGTCAAGTCACGCATGTGTGGACGCGGCTTCATGGATGTACAGCGTAAAGGAGTACACCGACATTCATCAACGGCATCAGCACTGTCACATAGGTCGGCCATTACTCTTGGAGCTCAGTACTACTGGGACTGTGAAGCTTTCGACGTTTCAACAGCCTTCTTACAGGGCCTACGCTTCCAGGAGATTGAGGCAAGGGCCAAGGAGCTCGGACACGAGTGCAAGGAAGTCAGAACGGTATGGCTACAACCTCCGGCCAATGTATGGCGACATCTTCGCATGATTGGATTTACGACGGTCGAGGACGTGGAACGATCTTTGTTTGTTCTATTGCTGAACAAGGCCATGTATGGATTGGTAGATGAACCTATTATGTTTCAGACGGCATTTCTGCATTTTCTCTTAAGTGAGCCCAAGTTCTACAAGTCGCTTCATGATGATCGCTTCCTGTATAAGTTTGTCGAGACGGGATCAACTTTGGCCTGTATCATTGTGTTACATGTGGATGACTTGTTAGTTTTGGCTATGAAGAATTTGATCTCATGGGTGCAGCAACAGGTTGAACGCAATTTTGGCAAACTGAAACAACATACTCTACCCTTCACATGGTGTGGGATCGTTCATGAAAAGATTAAGGCAGGACACTTCTTCCTACATCAGAAGCCTTGTCTGATTCGACTCAAGCCAATTACCATGGTCGAGAAGACCGCTGACACAGCTGAGCTTTGCGACAAGGACCATAGTTCTTTTCGATCGCTGCTTATGAGTATGCTATGGCTGACCAAGACGAGAGGCGACATTCTTCAAGAGATCGTTCAGCTTCAGACAGAGATGATCAATCCGAAGGGTATACATGTCAAACACTTGAATGGAGTACTAAAGCAGGCACTGGCTAATCAAGAGATGAATGGACTACACTTCAGATATGTTGGACCACAACGACGACTGGTTCAAGTGACGGACAGCGGCCATATTACTAGCAACACCTGCTACCCGCAAGAAGCACGTATCGTTCTGTTGGCACAGGATCATGCGGTATTACACCACGGAAGTCAAAAACAATACTACGGCCACGAAGCACGAGTTTTCGGTGGAGTGGCTTGTCCGTTGGTTCTCAGTTCAAAGAAGTCTCAGAGAGTTTCATGGTCCACCTCTCATTCGGAGACTAACCCTGCGGTTTCTTGTGCAGCAATGGCAAACATCATAGCATCACGGATTACAGAGTTGGAATAGCTTCCAGTATTCGGCAAGACACCTACTGCACGCGATCTATTGGAAGTTCACCTACGTTCTCAGCATTTAGTTCCAGTGGATGTGTGTACTGACGCAATGCATCTTTTCGAGCTCATATGTTTATCTAAGTCACTACCGAATGATAAGCATCATCGAGTGGGCAGTCTTGCACTACGCGAAGATCGATTGACGCGGAGGATCAGGAATATTATTCACTTACCGACAACGGTGATGTTGGCAGACCAACTTACTAAGAAGATGCTATCGCCGATTTACATTCACTTCTTAACTACTGGTGAGTGGAAGATAGAGCTCAAGGAAAGGAGCATCATATTACGACGTGGAGTGCGACGCCCGGCTACTTATACCGAGCAAGATCTGAAAGACAACAACTACGAGGTAAGCTTTAACGACGTTGGCGAATCGTTGGAGCTGGACGATGACAAGATTTCTCTACTGGAGTTCCTATCATGTTATGAGAAGGAGTACGACAACGATGATTGGAACCAAGATGGATATCATACCCAAAAGGTTTGTGACACCACGCACCAGCTACATAAGCTAGATTGAAGAGAGTGAAAAGCGGACTCTGAATATCCAGGACATCGACATGTGAGAGATACAGGGTTGTAGTAGCGATGTGAATTGATGATAGAGAGAAGCAGAGCAAGGAATGTGTACTGACAACATCCTGGCTCAAGGACTGAAAAGTCGAGTGAGGAGGGGGAGGGGGAGGAGGAGGAGCAGGAGGAGGAGGAGGAGGAGGAGGAGAAGGAGGAGGAGAAGGAGGAGGAGAGGAGGAAGAGGAGCAGGAGGAGGATAAATCTTCCCATATGGTTCAGGATTGCTCTCGGAGCGTCCGGGAGCGCTCTGGTAAGGGCGCGTCGCCGTATACATACTCCAGACCCGCCAGCTCTCAGAGATCTTCCCTCGCCTGGATTTGTCATTGCTCCCTTGGTATCCCTACTTTCTCCTCCTCCTCCTCCTCCTCCTCCTCCTCCTCCTCCTCCTCCTCCCTGCTCGCTCCTGCTCGCTCCTGCGTGTTGGTTCCACGTATAAGACCACGTTTTGACGAACATATCGCGTCAGACCTATACGTTTCCAGTCTACGTGTTGAGCTCCCTATCAATACGGTACGTGTTGCGTGTTGCGTATTGGGGCAGCTAAGCCCAGAAGTTCTCTGGAGGCCTCCGGAGGCTCGAGGACCTGAGCTTAACATGTCCGACCTCGTCGTTTCGACGTGTCGGACGGGGTTAGGACGAGGAATAATCCGTTCTGGAGCATTCTTGAACGCTCTCAGAGCGCTCCGGAACACTCTGAGAAGGTCGCGGCGCCCGAGACATCTTCCAGAGCCGCAGGATTTCTTGGGTTGGCCCAGAAAAGAGGGTCCGGCGACAAGGGGATGGTGCAATAGATCTGGTGCAATAGATGTGTGGGGATGGTGCAATAGATCTGGTGCAATAGATGTGTGGGGTGTGGGGTTGCGATACATTTGGGGCGTGCAGTACACCTGGGGCGCAAATCAAATGTTCGACTTTTCGCGTGCAATGCATTACTTGCAACACATTGCAATACAACTCTCCGGCGCAGTACACTCGCAATACCATTGCCCCAAATCTATTGCGCAGCACCTTTTTGGGTGTGCTTGAACCTCAGAAATTCTCGATCTATCCTCCCCCGAGTTTAGCCTCGCCCTGGCTTCGTCTTGCTGTTGGCCGCCCGCCTGCGCGGCAGGCGGGGCGCCGCGCTGACGGACTCGGTGCTGCGGGGCAGCTCGCACACGCCGCGGGCCGTGCCCAGCGAGGCGGCGAAGGGCACCCTGGCGCCCATACTCAAGGCTCCCGTGCAGTCACAGTTGAGGGAAGGAAGTCCACCCCGACCCCGAGGATCCGCGTTTGGAGCGGCCCTGTACTGAACAGCCCTGTCCTGCTCGATTCCTCCGTTGGGCGCGTTTGCTCAACGGTTTCGCCTGCCGTGGTGCTTATCTTTTGGGGGGGGAATGGATGGCTCTGCTCTCTACACAGGGGGGTTTTCTCAGGAATTGATCGTTCCTGCTTCCCCCTGCGACCTCCGAGGATATCATTGTTTGGACCGGCATGTTCCCTCCGATGGCGGCCCTCCAGGGCCGTCGTTGGGCCCCGGGGGGAGCGGTCGGTATACTACCTCTGGAGGCGAAGAACTACCCCTGGCGAAACGGTCGGAACGCCCTCTGGGGCCACGGATTTGAATTCAGATCGGCGGATGCCAGGCCCCCTTTCCTCCTTCCCGAGGACGAGGAGGAGAAAGAGGAGGAGGAGGAGGAGGAGGAGGAGAAGGAGGAGGAGGAGGAGGAGGAGGAGGAATGGGAGGACGATAGCGACGCGACGAGGAGGAGGAGGAGGCGGGGAGGAGGAGCGGCAAGGACGAGCAGGAGCGAGCAGGAGCGAAAGGAGGAGCGAACAGGGCGAGCAGGCAGGATGAGATGAGCAGAGGATAGAGGAGTATGGAGGAGGAGGAGGAGGAGGAGGAGGAGGAGAGGGGGGGGAAAGAGGAGGAGGAGAGGGGGAGGAGGAGGGGAGGAGGAGGCGGAGGAGGAGAGGAGGAGGAGGAGGAGGAGGAGGAGGAGGAGGAGGAGGAGGAGCCAGGAGCGAGCAGGAGCGAGCAGGAGCGAGCAGGAGCGAGCAGGGAGGAGGAGGAGGAGGAGGAGGAGGAGGAGGAGGAGGACCAGCGCAAGCCCAAGACTCACCGGCGATGCTGCCATAGCCCTTCCGCAGGGGTTGCGACGGGGTTGCCCTCAAAGACGTGCCTCGGGGGCAGGACGACCTCACGCCGTGCACCGCGCGCGGCTGGCTCGTGCGTCTGGTGGTGTGCCGGGGCCTGTGGCTCTGTGCCGTGCGGTCCCTTGGGCGTCGGCCTCCCTCTCGCGGGCCGCCCTCTCGCGGGCCGTTTCTCCTCGGGCCCCTCCTGGCGTCCGGGATGGCTGCCCAGTGGAGCTGGCGCTGGACTGTTCAGTGCGTACTTCAGGAGGGAAAGAAACACACAGACACAATTAATCGGCGATTCCCCAGAAAATATGGGAAAATATGGGAAGTGGGGTGGGAAGACAGAAACCCAGAAAATATGGGAACATATGGGGAATCCTGTTATTTGTGTGTATTTATTTGTGCGTCCCAGGGCCCCTTCAATACTGTGGCTGCCCTCTTCTACGCTCATCGTCTGGCGTCGCAGTGATGCAGTGCTCGGGCTCGGCCGTCTGCGAGGCCCTCGCGCACGGGTATGGGCCCGGAGCCGGGGCGTGGTCGGTGGCGTCCCCGATGAATGCCCATCGGGGCACGCTCGACCTCCCCCCCATTGGGTGCAACTCCTGGGAAAGGTAGAATCCAGCATCGGCGCTGGTGGATCCGCTGCCGAAAACAGAGGCAAGGCATCCTGATCCGCCGAATCTTGCTTCATCCCACCTCCTGCGCTGTACTCCCGCGGAAGAAGTGCGTGTCCTGGCTTCAAGCTTAGCCAATCCGGCTTGATGGCTTATAGTGAGCGGCTTGAGTAAGGAACGCTTACTTTTCAAAAGGGGCTCGGTCGTTCCATTTATCCTTCCTTATGCATGATGTATTATTGATCGTTCCTTATGCGTTATTCCCTGGAGAAAAGGGGCTTCGTTCCTGATTTATCGTTCCTGAGGTCTGGCCGGTGACTGTAGAATGTAGCCGTGCTCACAGAGTTTCTGATCGTTCTTGCGAGGACCCTCCTCCCCTGGTGTGCGAGGGCCTGCCAGGAGGCCGCCTGACTGCCCCCGGGGGAAAGGGCTTCTCCGACACGCTGAAGCGGCTGTGGCCGTCCGACGGCGCGGACGCCGCGCGCGCGGAGCCGACGTCGCCCCCCTCGTCGCTGGACTTATCTTACCAGCCTCGAACGCATCCCTGTCCTTACGATTGGCACGCCAAAAGGCGATGACAATCTTAGGGATCCGCCCTCAAAAAAGAAGGGAACCCCTAAGATCGGCATCGTGACGAGGAGGTGCCCAGCACAGGGATAGGGACATGTTCCAGGCTGGTAATCATCGGTGGACACCAGCCTCAAGAGGAGCTTCTCGCAGGAGCACGTGCCCGCGGCGCACGGGGTGGCCGAGGGCGCGCTGGACGGCGCCGCCAAGGCCTGCGCCGCCGGAACGCGTCCAGTGCCTCCACCGCGTCGGAGAGCCGTGCCCCGTGATCCCTCAAGGAGCGGCTGGTGTGGAGCCAGAGGTGCTCGCGTCGTGGGAGAAGAGAAGCACTCAAAAAAGACACGAGGCTGTTGGCCATCATCGGCCTCTGGGGGCCCTTCACCGGGCACAGAGACAGTCAAAGCACAACTCGGGACGAAGAGCCGGCCCTGGAAGAAGGGGTCGGGATGTCCGGGGACCCGTGAAGATACACAGAAGCCTTCGGATGTCCGGGGGCACGCTTTGATTTCTCAAAAGCATAGGCCCCCCGACGTCTCGACCCGTTCCCGGGATCTGGTTTTTCCTTCCGGGTCGCTTCCGGGGCCCAGGGGCCCCCGGAAAACGAGGACCCCCCCAGGAAAAGAGGCGGAACACGTGCCCCCCAAGCCTCGCCTCTGGCCGTGATGCTTCGTGGCGCTGGAGCACGTCTGGGTGGCATTCCGCATTGCCCCCTCCCCCTCCCCCCGCCCTGCCCCTCTCCCTCCACCTCCCCCTCTCCCCCCTCTCCCCCCCCCTCTCCCTTGCTCCTCTCCTCCCCCTCCACCTCTCCTCCTCTAACTCCTCTACTCCTCCTCCTCCTCCTCCTCCTCCTCCTCCTCCTCCTCCCCCTCCTCCTCCTCCTCCTCCTCCCTGCGGCCCACGGCCCCGCGGCGGTGGACGGGGACGTGTGCCAGCGGCGCGCGAGGGCTGGGGCATGGCCCGGAGCCGGTCCGAGAGCTTTCTGCTCTCGGGCATGGCGGCCCGCACGCCCCTGAGGATGCGGCGCACCATCTCGATCGACAGCACGTGCCAGGAACTCCGCGGCCGCAAGGGAGCTCCAAGCGACGCGAAGATCGGGACAAAATCGGATCGGGATGACTCGAAATCTCTGAGAATCGGCGGGTTTGGAGGATGTATTGGCGGCGCGCCATCTCGATCGACAGCACGTGCCAGGAATTCCGCGACCGCAAGGGAGCTCCCCCACCAGACCTCCAACGCACTGGATCGAAGAAGAAAAACCAAGACAAGCATAAACTTTGGCGCTCCGCGCGGATCTCTTGGATCCGCGCTGGGCCCCCCCTGCCGGCGCCTCCGGCGCCGCCCATGGCGCGCGGAGCGCGCCAGGGAGGGGGTCCAGCGCGGATCCAAGAAATCTGCGCGGAGTGCGACAATAGTATGTTCATGTGTGTGCTTCTTCTTCTACTGGATCAAAAACAAGGCAGCGCTTTCTCATGGTGTTCGCCTCTGGCTGGCCCCAGACCGTCAATAAAACGGCTCGCGGGGCATAAGAACGGACCCTTGCTGGAATGGGTCGGGACCTCCAGGGACTCTGTGATGCCAGCTCGTGATTATTGAATGACCCCCCCTCGCCCGGGGTTGATGAATAGACCCCGCGGCGCGCGAAATGATTTTTGAATCAGGCACTCCAGGGCTCGGAGGGCTCGGGGTGCCACCGCGCCGCTGATGAGGACAATCGGCATGAACGACGCGCCGCGTCCGAGGAGGAGCACGCCCGCGCAGAGTAGCGCAGTGTATGTTGAATGGTCGCTGTCGGGTTATTCTCTGGGCGCGTGGCTGGCGCTAGACGCCAGCTAGACTTGTCCTGGGAGCTCTTGCAAAACAATTCATATCCCGCCCTTATTTGCGGTAGTTTTCTTATGCATTGTTTTGCCGACTGGCGAGGGCCCTCGCACCCCACCCCATTCCCGTGGAGTAGATCTTGGATGTTTTGGCGCCCGCTTCGAGCAGGTGGAGTCTCCCCCGTGGGGCGCACCGGCGCCGCCGTGGTGTGTTTCCATCTGGCGGGCGTCCCGCCGCGATTCGCCCGAGCAGGGTGTTATTTTTCAGTCGTAAACCTCGCTTGCTTTTCTGATAATGGAAACAACCGAGCCCCGTGCCCATTATTTGGACATGGTATTTTTGACCCGGGCCCTAGAGTCTGCCCAGGCCCATGTATGGGCCCCCTTTTCCGAACATGAACCACAAAATGGGCCCCGGTCCCACTCGATGGGTCCAGCTTTTGGGCGGACCCATAAAATGGGTCCGGCGACCCTTTGGGTAGTTACAATGTGCCCCGCTTGCTTCGATGATCAGAGGTTGACAGGCCTCCTACCCTGACGCGTCGATTGCCGAATGGGCCGTTCTCGGTTCGCGAAAGGGCGTCGCGGCTGTCACGTATGCGGGTCCAGGTCCGTCGGTTTCGGTCCCGTGCCGTTTTCACCAAAGGGTGGTTTCCCAGAGGGGGGCTTGTCCACCGCCGATATCGGTCACAATGTGGCGTGATCTCGGTTCCCCCCGGGGGCGCCGAGGTCATCGCGCCTCGCCAAGTCCAGTCTGTGCCTCGACGGCTGTCCTCCTCCCCTCCATGGGGGTGGGCGGCGCGAGGGCGCGAGGGCGAGAAGATGATCGCGCGCCGCGCGTCGCGTAAAACAATCTGAACATCGGACGTCTGGGCCTCTACGGATCGACTCGTCACTGGAACTTCGGTATCCGACGCCCCCGCTGTGAAAAAACTCCGAAAGGCTTAGGCGGCCCTTCCTCCTCCTCCTCCTACTACTCCTCCTCCCTCTTCCTCCTCCTCCTCCTCCTCCTCCTCCTTCTCCTCCACCTCCCCCTCCTCCTCCTCCTTCTCCATCTCCTCCCCCTCCCTCTCCTCCACCCCCTCCTCCTCCTCTTCCTCCTCTTCCTCCTCTTCCTCCTCCTTCTCCTCTCCTCCTCCTCCTCTTCCTCCTCCCCCTCCTCCCTCCTCCCATCCTCCTCCTCCTCCTCCTCCTCCTCCTCCCTCCTCCTCCTACTTCCCCCTCCTCCTCCTTCCTCCTCCTTCTCCTCCTCCTCCTCCTCCTCTACTCCTCCTCCTCCTCCTCCACCCCTCCTCACTTCCTCCTCCCCCTCCATCTCCACCTCCTCCTCCCCCTCCCCCTTCTCCACCTCCTTCTCCTCCTCCTTTTCGTTCTCCTCCCCCTCCTCCTTCTCCTCCTCGTCCTCCTCCTCCTCGTGTCGCCTACGGCCCAGGGGGAAACCGTGCACCCCGCTTGCCCCGCTTGGGCCCGCCAAGCTGCAGACAGCCCTCCGGATTCCGAACGCCACCCAGTGTCAGAAATTCTTGGCGCTTCGCTTAACCCTACCAGCAGTTCACTAATTTAGGCCGTTGCTAGTTTGCAATTCCCTGGACGCCGCCCGACCTTTCTTCGCCGCGGTCGCGATCAAAAGAAAAACCCGACCAGCCCATCCAGAGACGATGCCCAGAGGAGTTGCCTCGATCAGGGAAGTGGGCAGCACGCAGAGCAAGGGTCCCTCTTGGAGCGCTCTTGGGACACTCCTGGGCGCTCTTGGGGCCGTCTTGGGACTCTCTTGGGCCTCTCTTGGGGCCCTCGGGTCATCTTGGATCCATGTTGAGGCCTTGGGAGGCCATCGAACGCAAATGCACGAAAAGACAACACCCATTCATGTTCGCTAGATGTTTGAAGGACTCTTGGGGCCTCTTGGGGGTCTCTTGGGCGCCTCATGGAGGTCTCTTGGCCGCCTCTCGGGTTTTCCTGCGCGCCTCTTGGGGCCCTGTTGGGGCGCTGTTTGGAGCCTTGGGTGCGCTCTTGGGGCCATCCAGGAGGAGATCGATACAAACAGATGGGAGATCTAACTGCGCCCCCTCTCGGGAGCCCCCAACAATCGCCTAATGGGCTCTCCTCTTGGGACGGTTTTGGACGGCTCTTGGGCGCTCGAGGCCGTCCTGGTACGGCCTCTTGCTTGGCGACGGACGGCTTTTGATCGCCTTCGACCGGCCGGAACCCTCGCCGGGCCCCGGGACTGCCAAACAACGATACACACATGAAAAGCATGGGGAATGGGTGCAGGCCTCTGGGGATCGACGTGACGATCGGGGGCGGCCAAGAGGGTGGTGATGACTATAGGGAGGGGGGCGGATATCATGGCGTGGGCCATAATATTTCCTCAGGTTCCATGGCGCCACTTCTAAGTTCAGTGCGTCCCCGCCCCCCCCCCCCCCTGGGCCGCGCACGTGCCGCCAGCCATGGTTTGCGCCCCCCCCCTTTTGGACGCCCCCCTTCCTGGCCGCCCCCGATCATAGGGAATGGGCGCAGACCTCTGGGGATCGACGTGATGGAAAAGTCATTACACCAGAGCAAAACCCAAATCAGTGGATGGTTTGCAATGGGATCGATGAGGAGATCGACCAGGAACCCGAGATCCCGGGAACCCAGAATCCACCGAGATCGGCCCTGAACCACGAACCAGGAACCCGGGAACCCGAAACTGGGAACCCGGGAACCCAGCCGGCCACCAAAATCGGCGGGACACACTCGCCAAATCCTTCCACTCCCGCTACCCAGACATATGCGACGTTCAGATTATTTCAGGATGGCGTCCCCGGAAGTCCCGACCTTTTCCCCGGGACCAGTCTTTCGTCCTGAGTTGTTTTTTGACGGTCCTGGGGCCCGGCGAGGGCCTCCAGGGGCCAAAAACGGCGAAACGTTTATCGTCCTGATTTGTTTTTCGACGCGATCATGTCTGGGTATAAGACCCCTTCAGTGCAAGCACTGAGTTGGGAATGACTTCCGGGGGTCCGGGGCGCGGGCGGTGGCTCTGCGGCGGCTCTCTCTTCTCTCGTGATCTCTGCGGCGGGGGGCCGGTGTTATGCGGCCGGCTCCCTCTGTATGTTGCGACCCCCCTCTGGTAGCACGATGGGTCTGGGGCTGTGGAAGACGATCGATGGAGAGGAGGCATGCTGTCAAAAAGTTCCCAGATGTCCAAAACACTTTTCACGCATGTCTTGCAAGTGCAGGATCATGCTTGAAACATCGTTCGAGCATTGTTTACCGTATAGAAGACAGATCTGAAAGACATTTCTCATTCAACGATAGAACGGTTAGAGTGGTTATTGTCATGGCATCCACAAGTATAGGGTTTACCTGCGGCTTCCTAGAGGAGGAGCAATTGCTGGGAGGCTCGGTTCAGAGTCGGCTCTGGTAGGTCCATGGTCGAAAACCGGTCCAATCCGACAGGGTCCCGTTTTGCTCCGACGACCCCCGCTTCAACCCGTTCAGTCCGGCCTAATCCCGCTCTTCATGTTGGCTAGTCTGGCTCAGTGGCCCTATATACTAGGGCTTCATAGCCAGTCTTTCTCACAAAGACCCTTAGGAGTTGCCTCCGAATCTAAGGCTCGCATGAGCAGCGCAGAAAAACGGTGTCGATTGTGTCGACGTTCGTGCGCAAGCTGCCCGCGCAATGTGGCGTGTGAGCACCTTCGATTGCAGTGTAGCGTGGAGCGCCGGCGGCCGCGTAAGTTGCGCGCCCCCTGCCCCCCAGAATTTGCATCGCGGCATCGCTTGTCGGGGTGTTTGTAATGAGGGTGGCCCCCCAGACATCCGGCTCTCTGACTATTTCGGCGCGTGGGTCCTCGTGGTCTGGACGACTTCCCTACAGTGCCGTTTTTTTAAAACATGCTCCGCGTGCGGATCATGTATTGAGAATGCAAGGATTTAGTGTGAAAAACAACGATGAGTTCATGCATACATTCATTCATCAGTGAATCATGTACTAAAAATCCTATTTGCAAAAAAATCATATGTATTAAAAACTGCCCTGTAGGACCGTGTCTGATTGTCCTGCGCTGTGCCTCGATGGCGGTGGCCCGTGGAGGGCCCCCGAGGGCCGCAGACGGCCAGAGAGAGACTGCCTTCGGAGCCGCGCGTCTTCGGGTCCCTCTGCCCACTGACGCGCTCGGACCACAGGTGCGAAGACCGGTGTCGGCTTGGGCAGGGTAGCCTCGTGCCCTTCGTGCTGTCGGGGGCAGAAAAGAGGGGGGCGATGACTATTAGGGGGGGGGGGCTATTAGGGGGGGGGGGGGAGGGGGGGGGGTGGACATCATGGCGGGGGCCATGATATTTCCCCAGATTTCATGGCGCCTCTTCTTGTTTCATTACGTCCCTGGCCCCCCCGCTGGGCCGCGCACATGCCGCCGGTCATGATTTGCACCCCCCCCCTCTTGGACACCCCCCTCTTGGCCGCTCCCGATCTTCGTGCTTGTCGCATGTTCTCGTGCCTCCTGGGGAGGGGCAACCCTCGGTGACTGTTCTGGCCCGGTGTGTTTGGGCCGTCGGAGGGCTCAGTGCTCTTGAAGGATGTTCTTCTGCTCCTGGCCTACGTAGGGCACGTCTTTCTACAGGAGGGATATCCAAGAATGGTGCGAACAGAGTCAGGCGACGATTTGTTGTGTCAGTTGTTGCTGTTTTTGATCATTGGTTGACTGTCTTCACTCCTCTTCCACAATCCGCCGGTGGGAGGGCAGGCCCGAACTCATCCCGGGCCCCGGCTGTGAGGACAAGGCCCGGGAGGGGAAGTCCATGCCGCAGCGGCTCGAGGAGCTGCAGGCGAAGCTCGGGGAGCTGGGCCCTGGCAAGGAGGAGGGCCTCTTCGCCTCCGCCGCGCTGCCCCGCGGCGTGCAGGGGCTCTGCCTGCCGGTGCTTTTGTTGGTTTTTGTTTTTCTATAAATGTGTATAGTTTGATATGTGTTGGGTATATGTACATATTTATATATATATGTACATATATATGTGTATATGTATATGTATATGTATATGTATATGTATATGTATATGTATATATATATATATATATCAGATTCGCGAGGGGAACGTTGGCACGGGCGCACAGAAGCGCAGGTTCGTCCGTGCAGACATTGGGACCATGCCGGCCTGCGCTGGCCCCGGGCAGCGTGTGATCTGGCACCCTGTGTTGTGCAGCCCGTGCGGAGCAGCACATGTGGTGCATTCTAGGTGGTGCAGTTCACTTGCCGAACTTGAAGTTGTCAATTCCACTGCTCGCGCAATCATCCCACCCACACACCCGCAACTTGGTTAACAAAATCTCTTCAGACCGTGACGGGGGGTACCACATGGCATTTGGCAACGACAGCGACGCCGACGACGACAGCGACAACGACGACGACGACGCCG